AAGGGTGATACTGTCCTTTAATGTGACTCATCCAAAAAATAAATAAATAAATAAACTATCAATATACTCAGCAGTATAATGACTATCGAAGTTACACAGAGTGAAAGAAAACTAGACAAAAGTAATACACATATGATTCTGGCTATATAAGACTTTAGAAAAGGTGACTAATCTATAGAGACACACAACAGTTTAATGACTTAGTGAGGGCATGAATGGGGCACCCTGAAACTTTTGTAGGTGATGGATATGTTCAGGGTCTTGATTGTGGTAGGTATTGAAGTCATTAAATTATATGCTGTCAATTTATTTAAGCTATTTTATGTGGATCTCAACAAAATTGAAAAATAAAGATTGACTCTTAGAGTGGATAAGCCTATATTTTTATTTTTATTTCTCAACTCCATAGAGAGTTCGATGTGTCCACAAGACAGTGACAAGTATGACCAGGAAATTGAAATAAAGTGAATGATGAAATGAGAAATACTGATGTAGCTAGATAAGACATAGCCTTTGAGCAATATAACTTGTAAAGAATCTGAGACTTTTCAGAGCTCATTGGGGAATGACCAATAAAGAGACCATTGAATACTTTTAATCCAATAGTTGTGCTGTGATTCCATAGTAGTGAAGTCATACAAAGTGATTGGAAGGATAGACTTGAGAGGTACTGTGAAGTCCAAATTCTGAGGAGTTGGTGATGAATTGAATATAGTTGGCCAATTAATAGTGAAAGCTAATTTATGATTTTTTTTACTTAGGTCATTGAGAAAAAGTTTTATGTTGAGTGGAAAATACAGAATTCTCAAGACATACCTGATCTTCATGGAGATGTGTTGAGTTTGTGTTTGTGATTCCATTAAAACCATGTGATTCCATTCAAACCACGCAAATGAAAAAGTAAGCAGTACAACCAAGTGGTGTTGGAGAATTGGAGCTCATGGGAATGTCAGAGTTGCACTCAGTTTTATTTGAAGGTAGAACAAATGCAGAAGGTTGAGGTCTACATTAGACAAAACTTATTATATTAGAGGTAACAGATGATGCCGGTTCCTGTTTTCACCACTGTCACAGCTCTTATTCAGGTCTTTATCATGAAAGTCTTCTGTCACCACTATCCTCCAAGTGACAATCACAGGGATCAGTCTGAAATACATCTCATACACAGCAGAGTCTTCCCACATTAGCATGATGTATAAAGCGCTCACTGATTTGCTTCTTACCTCCCTCTTTGGCACCAGCCCTCCCACAGCTGTGGTAATGGCAGTTCACTGGATCATTTTCAAGCAGCCTCACTATACCAGACATTATGCATCATATGCATTATACAAATCCTTACATCAGCCTTGCAAGTATATTATATTTCTAGACCTAGATACCAGTATCTAGTATATCTGTATCTCTGTATCTTTACCTAGATATAGAAAGTGAAGTGATTGGGTTTGCAGAAATTATGATACTAGCTAAGTGGCAAAGCTGATTATTAGACCTCATATCTGTAACTACAAAGCTTAGTCATGCAAGCCTTTCAAAGATGAGAACTGCAGCGCCAAACCCACTTATTTATTTCAAAGTGCCAATAATGCAATTAAACCTCAACATTGAGTCTTTAATCCAGATAAAACAACTGATACATTAACATCTTTTGTCTTAAAAACACAATAACATGTGCCACAGGTTTGCCACCACGAGGTTAGGCTATTAATCCTCTATGCTGTCCTTATAGCTGCTCAGATATACTACATTGTCCCTCCCATGCCTTTCTTTGTTGTATGCCACATCATGTCTGTAATACATTTACCTCTTACCCTCTCCCCTTACCTGTTTTAACTCCTGCTGAGACTTTAAGCTTCAAGCCTAAGCTTAAGAGTATTTGAAGGAAAAGCCTACTGCCCTTTCCTGCCGGCCCAGCTGCTAGAAATGCCTCAAAGTTCATTCTCTGGGCTCCCACAACCCTTTGTACATGTCTCATTGTATATTTCAGTCTTTCCAGTGTGTTAGGAGATTGCAGATCTTTTCTGACAAGAGCCAAACAATAAATATTTCAGGCTGTGTGGGTCATATAGGCTCTCATATTTGCTGGAGTAAGAAATCCCAGTTCATGGAGCTTGAGAGGAGCAGCCATGGCAGTACATTTAGCTACACAAATGAGCGTAGCTGAATCCCAATAAAATTTATGGACACTAAAAATTGACATTCATATAATTTTCACACATCACAAAAATTCTTCATATACTTTCCAAATATTGGAAAAATATAAAAACCATTATTATTGGCTTGTGGGACTTACAAAGAACAGTTTGCTGACACTTGCACTAGTGTGAATTTCTTGAAAGCAAGTACTGAATCTGATTGCTCTTTGTATCCCTATTGTGTGGTACATAGTGGATCCATCATGAGCCTACAGAACTTTGGGAAAATGTAGGGTCAGGAAAACAAGTCTGTGATTTTGAAAAGAGGGGCATCGTAGCAATTTATCCCATTAGAGCAGTTACACACATGTGTACTCACATTTAGAATATAGAATGATTAAAACCCCTCTGGGGTCTTTGCGTACAGCCATACCCATGATAGATCAAATAAAGCAGTGCATGTTCTCCAGCATTTAGTTTCTTTTTTAATTTTTATTATCATTAACATTTCATTTCTTGCTTTGGCTACAGCTCCATGTTTGGGCTGCCATGGTAACCAGGAAGCTCTGAAAACTCAAGACTAATGTGTACTCCTTTTATAAGGCATGCAAAATGCTTAGTGTGCATAGCCATCCATCATAAAGGCTAGCCAGCAGGAGAAGACTGTCTATTAGTCTTATAATTATATGTAATATATGATCTCTTAATGTTGTTGAGGGAATAGTGGTGGTTATAATTGGCGTGTGGTTTTATTTTAAAGGTCTAGAAATTCCAGGTACCTGACCATTGGCTAAGTGAACTATAACTGGATAGTCATTAAGAACCAAGTGTCAAGAACTGGGTCTACTTCATACCTTAAATGACAGGGAATCTTCACCATGAATAACTACATAGTGTCATCAGCAAAGTGAATATAGAAAAGAAATCTAGGCATGTGGCCCACACGGTTAGTCCTCATTACTCAGAAAGTTGAGACAAAGGCTCACAAATTTAAAGACAGTCTGGGTAACACAGTAAGACTTTCTCTCAAAGAAATAAAAGTAAATAAATGGGAGAATTCAAAAAGCAATTATACTTCAAGATATCAGTCTGTTTAGGGTTATGAAGACATTTTTTAAAAAAACAGTTGATGTAGCTCAGTGGCTTAAGTGACTGCCTGGCAAGCACAAGGTCCTAAGTTTGATCCTTGGTACTGCAAAGAATCAGACAGACAGACAGAAAGACAGACAGAGAAAAGGTAAGTTACTAGTAACAGTTTTATAAAAACTACAAGGCTAAAGGTAATGTATGTCAGTTATTTTGGAAAATTTGTAAGAACACAACTTCCCAAATTTCTTAACCTTAAAAGACAAGTTCTAAATTGTTCAAATAGTTCAGAATAAAGTCATCTTTAATCTTAATATTTACTTGTTAGTAGATAGTACTAAATGATTTACAAAAGTGCAGTGGAATAAAGTATTGCTTGTTTCTAGACTGTCTCTTTCAGCACTAGTATTTTGCCATTAATAGATTAAGACTCATGAGTGCAACGCACTGTACAAAAAGCTATGATTTGCACAACATGAGTAAGAAGTGGTTCTTATCACTTAAATATATTCAGGATAGACATATCTGAAATCTGGTAAGCATGTTTTTTCTGCAAAAAGGATTTCATGGTCAAATAAGTTTGAAAAACACTGGCTAATCAACATTAATTAGATTTCTTCCCTTTGGAGTTTCTCAAAACCCTCATGGTATTAATGTGACTTGACCATCAAGTCATTCTTTTTGCAGGCAACTCCAGGGCATGTTCCAGAACACAGTTGAAGAAATACTGCCTTAAACCTTGTGTTGAATTTTGTTTTGTCTACTGGTTTACCTCAAGTGCATTTGGTCAGAGATAATGCTCAGATAACCTTATCAGATTTTTTATTATACAGTATTGTATGTGAAGAGGTGGGAAATGACCTTGAAAACAAATCTGAGAAGATGTTGTGCAGTTTAATCAAGGCTTTGGAAAATGAGTTTCAATAATCCCCTGGGTTTTGTCTTTTAATAAGTAAACAGTAAAGACTTTTCTTTCATTGTTAGAGTGATGGTGCCAATCTGTTGCTCAAGGTGGGATGCTTTGAGAGTGAACATTAATGATGCTGCCACTACAAGTGGACACTGGAACTGTCTCAGAAAGACCAAGATGGTTCTAATTACAGTGTAACTTTAACAGTTGTGCAGTGTCATCTGGGTTCCTAATTATGTACTCTGTTTCTATAGCCCAATGGCTCCTGATTGATTCACAGGCTTTAGAATGTATGAGGGATTCTAAAATCATTTGTAACATTAATTCTTTACTGGAAACAATAGTTTTGAAGACTATAATGGTACATTTCACAAGTGGCTTTCAAAGTAGAACATAGATATTCCTGAAAATTAATGCATACATTCATTTTTAAAATTTGCCTTTGCAAAAGAAATTTGTTTCAAGAAGTACTGAGGTGTAGGGCCTGGGGAGATAGCGTGACAGTCTAAGCACCTACCTGGCATGCATAAGGATGTGGATTCGATCCCCAGTACCACATGCCTTGCCAGCCCCAGAAGCCCAGGTGTGCTGTGCCAGCCACTGAAACCAGCCATGGTGGTGCAAGCCTATGCTGGGGAGGCTGAAACAGGAGGATCACTATGAGTCTGAGCTACATAATAAGACCTGTAACAAATGAATGAATGGATGAATGAATGAATGAATGAATGAATGAATGAATGAGGAAAAAATAATTTCTGAGGTGTGAATTCATGCTTAAAGCAGAGGTTATGGTGGAAATCTTCATGCTAAAAGAGAGAAAAATAATTATTTCATGTTATATTTACTCTTTCCTGTCTTCATTCTTTTTACAGTTTTTTGAGGTGCCATTTGACTCAAACATGAATAGGACAAAAAACAGACCTCTGGTCCGTGGACAGATCAGGTAAAATCATGAATATAATTCTCTTTCTTATTCTAGAACATTCATTTGCTTGTTCAACAGAGGCATTTCCCATATCTTGTCTTTGGGCTGTGAAGATAACAAACTTGCAGAGGACAGTTTGGTATGGTTACAAACCTTGCACTCTCACCAGACGTACAGAGTATGTAAGATGGAGCCAAGATCTCTAGAAGTGTGTTTGGGTTTTATAGGAATAACTTATGCCATAGATTATTTTATTCAGTTTTGAGACATAGTTTCATTTATAGTGGCTAAAAATTAAAATGTTGAGTTAGCACAAGTGCTTTTTCAGACACAGCCAAATAGGGCAGTGGTGGCAGACTTACAGCATGCATGTCAGTGTGTTTTTATGTTAAGACAAAAAATATTAATGTGTGAGTTATTTTTTTAGAAACAAAAGCTCAATATTCAGTGTTGATTACAGTGCTGACGCTTCGTGATAAATAAGTGGATTTTAGGTTGCAGTTTGGCCCTTGATCTCTGAAAGGTTCACCCTCACTGAAATGGGTTTCTGAAGAAGGATATGTCTGAAACTTTATTTTTTCATAAAAGACAGTAATGCTGTTATTTGCCAAATGAGTGCTGCCTACTTTACACTCTTTTCCACCAAATTCAATTAAGTAGAACTAAAAGGCATATAAATATTTTAATACCACTAATGGTTAATAATTTAATATATTCTTCATAGAGATCTCTTAACCAGTATTTTAAAAGTTGTTTTTTTGTTTTTTAATTTATTACACATCACAATCCTAGAAGAATGAAAGGGGCTATGTAGTTTACACTGACCATTCTATATCAGGGAATCCTCTTTTATAGAATTGATGTGAAAGAAAATGCTTTGTTTTGTTAGTTTAATTTCCTCCTTATTTTAGAAAGGATTAGATAATGATGGCAAATATTTTAGTGAGAAGTGCCAAAGTGCAATCCAAAACCCAGTTACTTATGACAAACCTGAATACTGAGATTTTAGTTTAGGAGAAAACCTTTTGTCTTAGAAGAAAAACAAAATAACACACATGTGTACCATAGGTTTGCTACCTTTGGGTTAATGGCATCCTAAGAACATTTAGTAAAGTAGAAAAATGAAAATCAGGATTACAGAAAATAGAATATGAACTGAATAATAAGCTAATGAGGAAAATTTATCAAATTCACATATGTAGTTAATAAAATTGAGCTGTAAGGTTTCTGTTTTCTGATATCACAGTTACGTCAGAGTCATGTAAGTATTTACGTGTATTATCTAGATTCTGCCAACAGCACCATGAAGTATATACTGTTTAGTTTCTCCTAGTGGTCAGATGTAGAAATCCAGGATCCAATTATAAATGGCAGAACTCAAATTCCTGAGTTCTTGATAGCTATCCCTAATAGTCTCTAAGTCTCTTTGTCCCTTAGAAAAAACACATTCTAAGGAAATCCAACTTATGCCTTTCTTCTTGATAAATTGGAAAATACCTTTAGTGTTGATGTTAAAAGAATGTCCTCAGCATCTTCTATGAAGGAAAGCAGATAGTATATTTCTGAAGCATGCCTTGATGCAGCCAGATATAGAATGCCATAGAACATACTATGAAACTACCATTTAGCATCGACAGCCTTAAAGCAAGTGAAAAAGAAACATTTTGGGGCAGAAGTTGTAGCCTAAGGGTTCCTGTCTAACTAGATAAAACTGAGGCAGTGAAAAGAGGAAGAGAGAAGGCCTCAGCCTTCTAGGTGTATCAGGTAATGAATAGATTGAAGAGGTCATATGCTCCACCATAAGATTTGATTGCAAAGTGGGCGAAAGCTTGAGCAGGTGGTCATATTTGTATCCGTGGTCATAGCAGAGCCCTCAGTAGTATCCTCTGTCACTTTTGACATCTTCAAATCACTATATGCAAGCCTATGTAAAGTGAATGGTGGTCATAATTATATTTATTGCATTTCCTTATTTCTAAGACTTTTATAGAAATTCCTATTGCTAATTTTGCCTAGAAGATAAAAAGGGTAGGATGATAGGGCAGAGGTTTAAAACTGGAGTTTGTAGAACTTTGGTTTGTTTTCCAGATTTGCTTTAAAGTCAGTATTGTAATACTTAACAAAAAGTAATATTTAAAAAAAAATCTAAGTTGCTCTTCTTGCAAAGGAGGGAAAAAAGAAAGCAAAAACACTTGTCTACAAAGAGAACTCAGGGAGTGACAATCATAGTTCAGTCAGTGACAGAAGCTACTGGGTGGAAAGTAGTGGCAGGTTATCAGATCTTTCACTCATGCTGTCACCATCAGATACTTCTATGGAGAATGCTGTCTATGTATAAAGTGTGATATTTGCCAAGTTTACAGACAGGTAAATGAAATGGCTTTTGTTCTCTTAGAATCACATTGAGGAAATGGCACCTTCCGTGCATAAAAAAGATGATAAATGTTATCAGAAGTGACAGTTGTTGCAACAATAATAAAAAACAATTAATGCACCTAGCTGGCACTGTTAGACCCATGAGGTTCGGTGGTAGCTGGAACGTCTTTCTTTCCCTGACTAGGCATCTTACACATGATGTGTCCGGTACTGTCATGGGAACTGCCCCAGGTGATGTGAGGGCACAAAGAGTGCTGCCTAACCTAAACTGAGGAGGTCAAGGATGGCCTTTCAGAAGAAATTAAATCTTGAAGTCGATAACCTAAAGATGCATAAATAAGTCTCTTGCGCTTTGCCTGGTTAAGCCATTTTCTGTTTCTTCCTCCTGGGTCTGCTCCTTAGTTGCTGTTTTGAGCTTTCTTATCCCCCTCCCCCTGCAAACACTACAGTCTGCACTGTCTACACCAGTAGCCCAGATTGCTCCTCTGACCCTGGGCCCTGTGCAGGTCTTTTGCTGTGCTCCTGTGAACACCTCCAGTTCTCTATGGATGAGGATCACTTTCCCTCCCAAATCTGCCCTGTCCCTGCAAGTTTGAAACTACCCTGGGCTACATAGTAAGGTCCCAACCAACCTGAACTACATACATACTGAGACTCTTGTCAAGCAGAGCAAAGCGCATGCACACACACACACACACACACACATTACTGTTCAGTCAGGTTCCTTGCTTTACACTAAGCAGAATGAGTGAAGCCTGCGGGAAAATAGCCCTGTAGAATTTTGTACTGTCCTCCACTGAGAATCTCCCTGAAGGCAATAGTTTGAATACCAAGCCACCTAAATAGAGGCTTTCTTTTGTGCTCATTTTTAATTAACTCAGTAATTCTCAAACTTAGTGAACACAGTCATTATTTCTCAACTGATGTGCACATAACCTTGTGTGTACTTTATGGATGGCTTCGGGGGTTTTGAAGGATAATTCTGAATGTAACCTTAGGGCTGACCTACATAAACTAAATAAGCTTCAGCTCCACTGCGTTTCCAGAATATCAGAATACATGTGGCCCTGATACAGTGCTGGCTACTAGCCTTAATGATACTCGCTGCCTTCTACGTTGTCTACATGGTGGAGAGGATGACATTGAATGTAGTATATTATGAGCAGTAGTGAGATAAGTATTTATTTTTTAAATAATCAACCATAGCAAAAATGTACTCTACATTTTAAGCAATAGAAATTTCATTTAATTTTTAAGTAAGTGTGCTTTTTTTTTGATACAGAGCTCACTACATAGCTCAGACTCATAGCAATCCTCCTGTTTCAGCTTCCCCAGCACTGGGCCTACAGACATATACCACCATACCTTGTTTTGAGGCTGACACAGCACACCCCAGGTTCCAGGGCCAGCAGAGCATACAGTACTAGGGACCGAACTCAGGTCTCTGCATTTGCCAGGCAGGCACGTAAACCACTGAGCTATCCCCCCAGCCCTGTAATCTTTATTTTAAATTAATGCAGACTGCAGTGTGCTATTTGCATCAGTCACTCTCCAAGTGAAAATAGAGGGGTGCCTGTCCTTACCCAGAGGAGGTCAGCTTTTCTCAATCACTTTCACCTATCAGTGACCACAGAGGAGAGGCTGCTCAATGACCTAGTAGGGAATTTCAGGCCTGCTGCACACCACTTGCAGCTTCTACAGCCTGAGCTAGCCCTCAAAGGCTGGTCCTGAACATCCTTTCTTTGGGTACATGCTTGTATACACATACAAGTGCGCACACGCACAAAGCCAAAGGCACGTCCACACGTTTCCTCTGCCCTTCTTTCCACTGGGCCTGGCCTCGTACCTACAGCTCCCATTCATCTTCTCACTTCTGATGCTCCAAAGAGGGGCCTAAGAAAAATCAGTCCTTCTAGGCCCCAGTCCCTGCTGAACAGTGATCCTGGGGTGATTCCATTTATCACTGGAGCACTGTGGTAGGAGGTAGACCCAGAGCAGTGGTTCCTGAAGACCCTGAGTCATAGGATGGGGCAGCCTTAGAAGCTGTTCAGGAAACCAACCCTTTCTAGTCACCAAGAGTAAATAGAATGCATATATTAAGGACAGGGGAGTAAGGGGCACTCCAATTCTTAGCGGAGGGACCTATCCAAAGCTGAATGTCCCATGCAACCATCCTCCCGGCTTGGCAGGGATTAGTCTCAACTTAGTGGGCCCCCTATCCCACCCATACTATACTATTCTAGCAAGTCCTCCCTCTTCCCAGTGCTTTGAGCTTGCACCATTGGCTTGAGATTCTTCCACTTGGACTTTTTAAAAAGATTCTGGTGGATTGAAAGGAAGACAGAAGAGTTAAATGCCCAAGTGCACAAGGCCATAGTAGCACATGAGGTGAGTGTTACACAACCCTCTTCATAGGCTGCTGACCCTCTTAGGAACAAGAGTCCCATCAGACAGATGCTGAATCCACTCCTCAGTGACTGCTATGACTTTTCAACACAGTTATAAGTGCAGGATCAAGCCTGGTTTCTGAAGTCAGCTGTTAGCTACCCCAAGCCTGAAAGACTGGCCCTGCAGCCCTTGCATCATTGTGTGCTATGGGCATAGGGCCCATGGGAGCTTCCCAGGACATGGAAAGTATTGCC